TATCTAAATCTTATCCAATCTTCAAGCCTCCATAATTAAGGGATAAAGACTATACCTATATTTTTAAGGGAAATGATTTTTGTACAACTTTTTGTCTTATTTTTTTATATAATTTTTTATTTCACTTTTTTGTATAATTTAACGTATTATTAAAATGATTGATTCTTTTAATTTATATAGAACCCGCATCCATCCATTTAATAACATATGAAAATTATATAAAAAAATAATATAAAAAAATTATCCATATAACATCATCCTATTTTTAATAATATTTGCCGAAGCTAAACCTAAACCAATTATACTCGGAAAAAAGGCATAACAGAAAAAAGGGTGTTTTATATAGTCAAAGGGACTGTTGTCTGTATAATAACCTATCATCCCAATGCAATCAAGCATCCTTTTTCAGTCAATTCAGGTTAGACTTCCTATTATTAGATGAGATGTTGATTTTCACCAAGAACAAGAAAGACATTGATTGAATGGAGATGGAGATGAAAGTGAATTTGAGATGAAAGATTTAGACCTAATTAATTTCGCCTTATCAATTGGTGAAATAAAAGTTGTTAAAATTAAGAAATTTATGACGAATTATGTTCTCATAAGAAATTAAAATTTTTATTATTTATTTTGAATTGTATAATAAAAAGTAACTTTTTCTTATTCTTTAACTCATTCTATCTCCATACATGTGATTTAAATTCAAAATTTCTTATTTTTATTGAAAAAAGATTACTTATTAAATCAATATTTGATTCATAATTTACATGTGATGGTGTTAAATTGTCATTATACCATTACTAAACTACTTATCAATTTTAGCATATATCATTGTGGATTATATTGGATTATATAGTAAAAAATAGTCCTCGTCTTTCTTAAATCACCCTACTCTTTTCAAGGTTTGAGTTTAAACCTTTAATATAAAGTTGAAGTTCTTAATCGTGAAATCATTGTTTTAAGATTTGAGTTTAAAACCTATAAATAAAAAGGTAAAATTCTTAATTGTGAAATCATTGTTAAGGGCGTAAATGACTAATCAAAAGTGCAAAAAACTAATTAATAGTAGCCACTCCTTGCCTAAGCAAAAGTGACAAAAAAAAAAAAACATACATACATACATATATATATATATATATAGTGGCCACTCCCTCCCCTACCCAAAAGAAAAAGGCCTAAAGCAAAAGTTAAAAAGGAGGGGAGTGTCCGGTCTCCCATCCCCCCTTCCATTCTCCTATCATTTTACTACATTATCATCATAGTTTGTTATTAAAAATTAATAAATTTTATTTAAAATATTTTTCTTTTTTATTAAAAAAATTCTTTTCATTATAGGTGTTTATTTTAAAACTTAAAAAGTAGTTATCAATTATTGAATTTAATCACATGAATTCATTCTTTAAATTATAAATAATGGATATCAGATATTGAATATTGACTGTTAATTATTAACTATTAGTTATACTAAAACAACAAATCCAAACACCCTCATTAAATTTTTACTTGAATACACAAATATTTTTTTTTATTAAAATTTAGTTTTACCCCCTTAAAAAAATTTCTACCTCCGCCACTACCCGAGGGTATGGCGTGGTCCTTGGGGGTTTTGTTCAGTTGTATGTTGCGATTTTTCTCTTGATGCTACCAAGGAACAATTGTTAGAGGATTTAGAAGTATTTAAAGTATTTTTATCAATTTAGAGGGTGAGGTTTTAGATTGTTGTCACTCTGCACCTATTACTAGTGATTAGGAGTTTGGAAAGTAATGATATCTACCCATAGGATTTTAAGTTACCTATATGTTCAAATCAGTTTTTTGATCCACTAATCTACTATTATTATCAGGTATTTGCTGTTTTCATCAATAAAATTTTATATTCTCGTAATAAAAGGGAGAAAAAGTGTTCAATTTTGACATAATATATTGTTTTTCAAAACATGTTTGGACAGAGGGAAATGAAAGGGAGGGTGGGAGAGAACATTTCATTCAACTAATTGAACCTCTCCCTTTCATTTTCCCTCGATAACGTACTCTTAATTTTGTGTTAATTTTAACTAAATTAAGTCTCTTCTATCTAACCCTAAGGGGAAAATTCTTAGTATATATTTAGTTTAATACATTTTTTGATATATATTTTGATTTGTCGATTAAAATATAATATAAGTACAATTAATCAATCAGTTTTTGCATCTTATATGAATATGATTACATTTTTAAATTTATCTATTTTTAATGTCATATAAAAAAATTAATTTTTAATAAGTACATTATATAGTATGTTAAACTAAAATGTATATTAATATCATACAATCCCAAAGGAACTAGTTGCTTAAAACTACAAATTAGATGTTACAACCTTGATATTTGTAAGAGAGATTTGGAAAATAACCTTACTTAAAAAAAAAAAGAAAAAAAAAAGGCCCTCTTATATTGGAATTCTTCAACATTTTATTACAAGTAAAAGGAAAATCATCACCTTATAACATTAAAAATATTATGATTCCCAATCATAGCCATAATATATATTAGATATATTGTAGGTCTCAACTATATCACATCCATCATGCAATTTGTGATAGGATGCCCTTGGCCTAATTTTCCATTTTTTGTTCTTTTTTTCTTTTCTTTTGATCTTTTCTGTTTTATTATTTGCATCAACTCCAGTTATTAAATTTATCTGTTCACATCTTTAGCTTCGTAGTCGCAAATTTGCTGGGAATTAGAAAATTAAGAAAGGTGCTCATATATTTCTAAATTCTACTACTATTATTTTAGTTGTGTTTTTGTTTTAATTTTTTAAAAATAAGACTAATTTGTTTATAAAACGAGATTTGTGTGCTCAAATTTTATAACCTGACATTTTTTGGGTCCTTCAATAATCTGACAATAAATAAATAAATATATATATTTTTTGAGAATGTGAGAAACTTAGGGGAAATATGTCTTTTTTTTTAAAAAATAGTAAATAAGAGTAGAACTTTCAACTTACATAAGCTAATTAAACTTGTAGGCTTGGTGAGTAAATCAATAGGTTCAATAGGTTAGTTCTAACAACAAATATTTGTGCTTTTTTTTATGTTGAAATATAAAAGAGTATTTATTCTTAGGATCTAATTTTGTTCCGAATTTCGAAATTAAATTTCTTCAACTATTAATTACATGGGTTTATATGAAATGCACATCATGATGAATAATTACTAAAATTCGTTTTAAATTGAGGTCCTAGAGATTGCTCCTGACCATTATTATCCAATGTGAAATTGTAAACCCTTTTTGTAATGGAGAAATTGAAAACTATTAATTCTTTGCCTGACCGTCATTCTTTTCATTTTTCATTTTTCATTTTTCATTTTTTTATGAATAGTGGTTCGTTGATTTTTATTTGTTCTATTATTTTTTATTATTAATTTTTTGGTCTTTGTTATTTTTTTATCATTTATATTTATCTAAGAAAAAGGTATTTATCAATCATACCCCCCAAAAATTTAAGAATTCCTAATGCTAAAACTATAGTACATCTCAATAAACACACTTTAGATTCAGACCATAAAAACTGCTTAAATTTATATTAACTTTTATAATAAAAAATGATTTTAAACTGACTCCCAATAAAAATTCCTCATTTACTTACCCAAATAATATATAATTACAATATGATGACGTATTATAGATTTAAAATATAATGTGTTATTATATAATTATTTTTTATTTAAAAAATTTATTTATAATATTATATGTATTTATTTATTTAATATTATATTATATTAATTTAAAATAATATCATAATTATAAATTTATTATCATACGTAATATTATAATTATAATATTTTTTTTCAATTGTTACATATAAATCACCATTTGATATTTATATATACATGAGTTATTAAAATATCAATAATACATGATATTATAAATCTATCATTTTCATTTTTAATTAGTTCCACTACATGAACAAAACAGTTAAAACTTCTTGGACACTGAAGTTTTACCCACCGTTAACAATGAAAGAAAATATTCCAATCACAAAAAGATCATAAAAAGGCATCTATCTAAAATGACGAAACATTTTTATTAAAAACGAGAATCAACCAAAAGATCTTTCTTCTTTCCCACCAAAAATAAAGGTGGAAAAAAAGAGAAAAAAAAGAAAAGGGGGGTTCTGTCGTGTACATGTGAATGAGGCAATGCAATTATCGGATTCGCGCGGGGGGAGAGGAAGGGGAAGGGGGGAGGAAACAATCGCTTTTGATTCGTCCTCCCGGTGTTTTTGTGGGGTCCACCAAATCGTAAAGGCGAAAAAGTGGGCCTCATCGTACGGTCCTGATTCCCCCCATGGGGGCCATCGCTCTCTGCCGACGTGCCAAACGACTGCTTTTTTTTTTTTGGGTTTCCGCCTGGTATTTGAGATTTCGTCCCGATTAATCCAGACTCGACCTGCGTCATGTACCCAAAAATAGTGGATGAATCTCCCAATAGGAGCTATTATGTACACAAAATCTCAAACTCAAAATTTTATTTAAGCTAGAACAAACCATTTATCACTTGATCTAACCCTTCGTTGCTGCCAAACGACTGCTTTTTGCATTGAATTCCCCTTAAGCCGGAAAGGTTAGGTATTTAGTGGATTCGGCTAGTTTCTAGAGACAGACCAGGGGGGTTTTTCAGTGGGCCCCCACTCTATAAGTTGCATACGCTCACTTCCACGCGCTCAGACACACGCCACCCCACCGCCATGGCACCACCGGAGTCAGAGGGTGTGAAGTGTGAACGACCACGGAACAAGAGAGATCAATTATGTCACGTTTCTCATAACCGGTTAGTTCACAACAATAATTCGAAAGGAACGTGTTAAAAAGGCATACGTTAATGTTAGGAACGTAATTATTATAAGTTTTTATTATTCATTTATATAAAAAAATTAGAAAAATAAAATTTATTTTTAAATATTTTAATTAAATAATTATTAAAATTAAAGATATTTTTTATTTTTTTATAGAAATTAATAATAAAAAATATAATAAATATATTTTTAGCTTTTATCTTTTAATGCATAAATTTAAATTTTCTCTCTTTTTTTTTGTAACTTTTTTTAATTATATATCATTAACTATCTTATATCAGTTATCACTTGTTCTCAAATAAGTATAATGGTTTCACCGAAAAAATATAAGTGTAATGGGATCATTGGGAAAGGAGGGCCATGCTGCCTTGAATTTTTTTTAACACACATGATATATGTTGTTTTTGGTACTTTTGATATTACAAAAAAAATATGGTACAGTTTAGATTATATTAAATTTATAACATTAACTAGTAGATAATAATTAAAATTCCTCATATTGAAACCCTTTTCCATCCAATAATCTATATGTTATAATCTAATATTGTCTAAATTGTAAAACAAAATTCACATGTATCATTGTCAAATGTCAAGGAAACAATTAGTGTCTTTGTAACACTATAATCAGCTTATATTAAAATTATTATTAGTATTTAGTAATTGATAACAACATAATTAAAAAAGTTTGATTTTTTTATAAAAATATTAATTATACTATTTATATGTTATGAAAAATCATTATTTAAAGATAGGTGTAGTGACAACTAAATTGAAACAAAGGGAAGATGAAATATTTCCACTTAAAAAAATTCAACAATTATGTTTGAATGTCCAAACTTCAAATGTTAATTATGTTCAACTGCTTTGACGTTAATACTTACTGCGAAGAGCTGTAAAGCTTTAAAATTTAAAACAAAAATTAAGAGTTTTAATTTTGTCACCTAATCTAATTAGCTATAGCTAGGCACTAAACACTGCGCAAGAAAAAAGATACACCAATAACTTCAAGTTAGGTAATCCAAGGGCCAATCAAGGTTTTAGTGGACTCAAATCACATATTTCTCATTTTTTGTATGAGCCAAATCATTTTTCTTTTTTTTTTTTTTTTTTTCGGACAAATTCTCTTTAAAAGTTAAATTAATACATTTATAAACCTTCTCTCCATTTATGTAAACACTAAATACACTAGAGGATTTATGATTTAATTAATAAAAAAATTTGTTCTTGACGACATTATTAAGATTTAAATTTATGAGAAGCTAATGAAAAATCAATTTCTCATAAATTTTTTAATTTTGATATAGTTAAGTTACCTTTAATCAAATTAAAGAGAAATTAATTTTAAAATAAACATAAATTGAACTAAAAACATCTTAACTACTAAAAAAAACTAAATACAACTAAATCCACAACTTTGGGACTCAAATTCTAGTCATTTTTTTGGCAAAATTTGTGGTTGATGTCATTAAGTACCAAAATGTTAAAAAGTGTTTCCCACTACCCTAATCTGAGAGTGCATTAGCCATCAAGATTCTAGGCTGCCCCTTTCTTTATTCCGGCCACCCTCCGTTCCCAAACTCTACAAAACGAAATGTAGTCCAGTTGTTAGACATGGTACCAAGTGGACGTAGCCCGACTCACACGCTAGATATTCACGCGCGTGAAAAACCTAAATCTCACCGACCTCCGCGCATCATCCAATCAGATCTCGAGTACATATTACGACAAAACACAGCGTGTTGCCTATTTCAGAAACATCGGAACCATCGTTTCTGTATTTGCCACGTAGTTCGGGTCCCCCCTTTGACATTTTCCCAAAGTCAAAGAAAATTCCAAAGTGCTTTTTCTTTTTCCTTACCAATGAAATTAAACAAACGGAAAATAGAAAGTTAAAAAGAAAAAAAAGGTTTGTTTAATTTGTGTGT